TATCACTCCTGATGGCAATAATTCCATTTAAACAAGTAAAGTATAGAACTTAGTCTATATATATAAAAAAAAATTAAAAATATTCTTAATTTAAAATAAATATCATTGATTTTTCAAAATCATAAATCGCTATAACCGTCTCGTAATCAAGTTTTTTTAATTTATTATGTGTATAGTGTGTTGTAACCCAAAAAAAGTATGAAGAATGTTAATATTTCCTCGTACAAAAATTATCTATGTATTTTTGAATAGCTTTGTGCTAAATATTTTTATATGCATTATTTTTGCAAGTCCGGTTGTTTGTTACTCACGAAGAACTCCCGTTACGTCCGTCTCCGCTTGCCTTCCTATCGGATATTTATAAGGTGTGGAAATAATTTTATTGCCTTTAATAATTACAATAAAATATCAAAATTTTGCAATTGTTATTATTTGTCACATTTTATCTTTGAGTATAATTAGCCTAAATTTATGTAATAGTTTAGATTTTATCTTTGAATATAGGATTTTTTTATATTATTTTAGTTTTAGAGGTCCCTTTCTCATGCAAATGATTCAAAAATTATAAGGATTGTGATCCATTTACATTTATCTCCATTAGTGTTTACACGTGGATAGGAAATTTCCGAAGTAGTTATTTAATAAACGTTAATAATGATTGATGAGAACCGAAGCCAACACTTTGCTTCCAATATCCGCTCTAGGCTTTTCTACAACATCCGGACATGATTAGATATGAAAAAAATATTTTTTATATGTATTATATAATTATTGTAATAGCTTTACTATTAAGGTCACTTATTTTTTAAACAAGACATGACAAAAATAATAATAAAAATTAGTTCTACAATCTATTTGTTCGTACACAGCAGTGAAGTTTATGAAATTTTCTAACTAACAGTTGGTCATGTTTTTATTGTTATATATTTTTTAATTACTTCCTGCGTAAATAGAATTAGAAAACACTACGTTTTTTATCTATACATATAATAAAATTGTAACTAAGCCGAATCTTTACATTAATAATTTTTTGCAAATTCTTATTGAAATAGGTATTATAATCGATACTTTTAGAACTTTTGTCTGTCTGTCTGTCTGTCTGTGTGAAATAGACATTATTATCGATACAGAGGACGAATCTATAGCTTTTAGAACTTTTGTCTGTCTGTCTGTATGTCTGTGACCGCATCACAGAAAACCACTGGAGGGATTTTGATGAAATTTAGTTTGATGATAGACAGGTTATAAGGGTCAACATATAGGTTACTTTTTACAGCGGGAAAATATCTCATCTCTGAGAAATCTATACTAAACGTTAAAACGTAAGTAGGAAAGAACACGAGCGGAGGGAGGGTGAGTTGCTAGTATTTTGTATAATATTTATGATAAATTAAGCAGGTAATCAATTATTTTATGACGTCAATTCAAGGCTATGTTATAGGTATATTTAAGTGTTTGAATCTCACAGCCAATAAATCATGATAGTCAAATTGCATGCCCATTATTCTATTGAGCCTGTCAGTAGTGACACTGAGGTGTTACATTAGAAGATCTCTTATTGCTTTATCCGTTCAGACTATTATTTTGCATAAGCAGATACCTACTTACATAGTTCAGAAATCAACTCTTATCCAATTGATAATCATTGCCTTTGAGCCTTTTTAATTATCGGCCTACTATTACATATCCGAAAGTATGTTTGTGTATGTTTGTTACGCCTTTGACTGGACGAATTTTGATGAAATTTAGTATCCAGATTAACTATCTGGAGTTACATATAGGCTATTGCTGGGCACTTAGGGACGTACCCAAGTAAAGTAAAAGTAAGCGCTAGTAAAATATAGGATACAAAAAACGATATACACATAACATAAAACACTATCATCATATTATTCATTTCCATTGAAATCTCTTTACTGACTCGACCATTTAATCGTGTCCGATTGTTCCCGGTATCGAATAAAGAGTTCTTTATGAGGTGAAGAGCAGGTGATCATTGACCAGCACCCTCCTGCGGTTTTGACATTCACAGAACTTCTTTTGTTTATTTGTCGGTCCTTTGGTTATTCCATTCTTTTGGATCGCACACACTGCCGCCACTTGAAATAGGCGACGAGTATTCTTCAACTATTGTTGTTATATCCGTTGAAACTCGAATTCGTATGAAAAATGCTAGATCGAAGTTTTTTTTAAGGTATGATAATTTAATGCAACATTTCATATACGTATCAAGTTTTAATAATATAATCGAAAAGTACCAAATCGAAAGGTAGGTAGGTACCTTTACAACACACTCGTATCTGTCAAGATTATAATTCTTGCATAAAGAAATATGAATAAACGACAAGATAACTTTTAAATTCCATTCCTTAAGACGTACGACCGAAAAGAGGGTTACCGTTACGAATGAGCTTAAAGCCAGTGACATAAAAAGAGAAAAAAGTTTTTTTTTCTTTCAACCAAATAGCACATAGGTACTGGTCGGGACGAAGCCTCGACCGTAAGTCATCGAAGCTGTCAAGATAAGAATGAGTGAATGAACACCTGCCGCTACCAGTGTTACGCATGCTCCTACGCAGCCGTGCTCTGCTACGATATTAAAATACGACGTTTAAAAACATTCAAAACAAACTCGCATTACAACTTTTAAGCCATACGTTTTACAGATCATTTTGAGATAAAAACAGACTCCGCATTAAAAACTAATATCGAATAAAACGCAATTATGGACCTAGGTTGGAGCGATTATCTTCTTGAATCGACTTTAAAATTAGGCATAATAATATGATTAACGTTGTTTTTAAAATATGACTTACAAAACTTGACATCCGTGTCTTGTGTTTTTTTTTATTAATCACATAATATATAATTACGCTACACGAGCGCCAATATTAGTTTCACCAAGGAAATAAACAACAAGTTATAGTGTTGTTATTTTGCTATGATATTTTATGGGATGTAGCTGCAATCGCATTTAGACTTTCCGGCCAATTTCCTACTCGCATTTATTAGTCATAGTATCAAGTTTAATTGTCGGTATTTTTTGTTTTAATTGGGCTAATTACTGGGTGGCTCCCTTCGTAGAAGCACTTGAGAAACACGTGACTAATATATCATCGAGATCTCAAAAATGCGTAATCCAGGAAAACATTGGTCGAGCAACTCGAAATATTTCCTACGGTCAAGAGCGAGTTCTTGGAGATTGGTAAATGAGTTCCAAGTAAGAAGGTCTACAAATAGAAGGTAAATTTCTATAGAAAAATTCTTACAAGAATAATAAACATCATAGATCGACTGTGGTTGTAATTTATTTTTAAGAGTACCTAAGTGTTTAAGTTCTATTTCCCAATGCCATAGAAGGCCTATTCGACAATATCTTATTTTTTTTCTTAAAGTTTATAGATATGGCAATCCGATTTCCAAAATACACAAATGCTTCCAAAATGAATGCAAAAATAATAAAAACATTAACCATACGAAGTAAAAAAATATATTATATTAGTTTTTTACCTAGGTGCAATAAGTATTTACTTCAACGGTTCACAAGTCGTATACTTGTAGTCGTATACTTTTTAAATAAAAAAATCGAAATCTCGGTATACTTACGTCCATACAATAAAGTACCTACTTGCTTAACTTATAACCTCCTCCTTTTTGGAAATCGGTTAAAAATAAATAGAAGCTATAACTAATAATAAATGTGCGTAATTTAAAATCAAAGCAGCAAATCGCTTAATGCACAAGGCGATATTAAATAATACTCCACATTATCAATTATTTGAGTTCAATGCGGGATTGCTTCGTGACCATTGTCACGACCTTTTACACACTTGCTTTATACCTTACTAGCATTGCCCGCGGCTCCGCCCGCGTTCAGATGACCAAAAACCAAATTAATAGGTTTTACATATTAGTATATTCTTACAATGCAGTTTTTGTATTTTTTCTCAGAAATGAGATATTTTCCCGCGGTAAAAATCCTATATGTTGACCCGGCTAACCAGCTATCACCATACCAAATTTCATCAAAATCCCTTCAGTGGTTTTTCTGTGATGCGTTAACAGACAAACAGACAAAAAAACAAAACTATAGATTCGGCTTCTGTATAGATAATAATGTCTATTTCAATAAGATTTTCCAAAAAATATTTAATGATTGGACTTTGTCAGAATTTTATTATATGTATAGATGAGATAATATCTCAAACCGCATGTTATATTAATTAGAAATATTGCATAATTACCAGTTTATTGTACTATATTACATAAATGATTATAAGTTAGAAGCATAATTCTCGAGATGTTTCTCAAGATGAGATTTTCGCGCCATTTCTCCTCTTCCTGTAAAGCGTTCATTTCATATACCATAAAGAGGACGTTATTTGTTTCTTTAATTATTTTATGACGATGGCTACTGTTAAAAATTCAAATATTTATCAATAAGAATTTGATTTTAAGATTAGATAGTTATAAATACAATTTGAAAAATGAATATGTGTAGTACAAAAATGTAATACATTTTTATTTTCATAATATATTATTATAGTAATAATATATACCTATTGCCTTATGAGACCAATCGCCGGTGGTAGGAAATTAATTAAAACAATCTCGCAAACTGTCGTTAAAAATCTAAGTTAAACGTATAGTCGGGTTGCTGTTAGGATTTCCTGATAATTTCGATACGACGTATTGATTTCATAAATTATATTTTGCCTGATATTAACTGGCTGAGATAATTACGTTAAGGTATCGGAAACCATGAAAGTTAAAACATTACATCCGTCGAGGCAAATTAAATAGTATCAATCGAGGAAAGGCCATTTTAGGTTTATGCATAATAACGATTTCGTAACTGACAAGTAAAAAAATTAGGTCACAATGATGCAGGTTACAACACAAATCCAAGGCGCTACTGCGAATCGCACAAAATATACCAACTACCATAAAAGTTTACAAAACACAAACGGTAAAAGTTTGAAAATGTTAAGGATACTCACTCCAGTTTGATAGAGAATCTTGAGTCCACTTTTCGGTTGCGCGGTCCGTTTGTGCGGGAGAAGTGGTAATTTGTCAGGTCTTCGGATGTGAATTTCCCCCGATGGTCGGAAGGCTTCCAGAGGTGTGCGGATGACGGCCCGCACGCCGGCAAGAACGCTCGCGATGAGTAAAGCAGCAATCACTTGCATTTCGACACTGTCACACTGATCGTTATGTCGCACAGTACGAGTAGTTTGCGGGTCGGGCAAGCTCGGACTGGCGGCAAGCGCGCCGAAGCAGGTAACACTTGGCCTACGCGCCCGGTAAAACCACCTCCGACAGCGATCGAACGCCTTGATACTTTAAAGGCTTTTACGCCATAAAGCTTTTGCTTTTTATAGTTATAAAGCTTTGGGAATTTAAGCTTTATCAATTTAAGTTTGTGTATTATTTATGATATGATAGGTAGTGTTCAAAATTAAGTAGGTACTAAACTTCTGGTTTTTATTTTGGGTTTGTATCGAATTATTGTTTAGTATTAATAATTTTTACTATGTATTTTGTATTTTAAATAATTATAGCTTCAATTAAACTACGAATAAGTCACTGTTTTTAAAATTACCCGGATATACGAAGGAATAATATGTTATTTATTTATTGTATACTTCGGAATCTTCCATGGATCAAGAATGTAGGGTCGCGCTCGGGTTGACTTCCTACCGACGATGTTTTTTTTACACAATCTTGTTGCTCGGGTGTAAAGATACGTTCATATTGATTTCAAGTTATACTTAAGTTATACATGATTTATCTATTCTTGAAATTTAACTTATAAATAACAATCACAAGATACCTATCATATATAAGAAACATATAATCGTAGAATTCGCGAATTTCCTTTGATTTCTTTCACCCTCGCTTCGCTCGCGTGCGTCCCTAGATGCCTTATGACGATTAGTATATGTATATTGTATGTATATACATACATACAATATACATATATTACATGAGTTTACCTTACCTACTTAAGAAATGATTGATTTCTCATACAAAGTTCCACCCCTCTTTTCATCCCCTTAAACGATGATTTCTGGGGTAAAAACTATCCTATGTCCTTCTCAGGGTCTCAAAATATCTCCATACCAAATTTCGTCTAAATAGGTTCAGCGGATTAAGCGTGAAAAGGTAACAGGCAGACGGACAAACAGACAGAATTACCTTCGCATTTACATATATATTAATATGGAAGAATGGATTAAGCAAATCATAATTCTATTCAATAACTTATTTTTACAACTACACTCGAGAAACAATGAGCGTCCGATAATCCCACTTGACCACCATAAGTCGTTCTCGTAAGTAGCTTTTACAAACATTTACGATTGTTTCAAAAGCCGATTCGCGGAAGCGGTCATTCATGTGAATTAGAAATTGTTGTCAATGAAACGCGACCATGGACAAGTTAAATAAGCAATATTAAATGAAAGAGTTAGCTATTGTATAGAGTTAGACTAACCAGAGACAAACTGTATATATGATATTTCCTTAGTGCATAGACAGTTACTATGATTTGTGTTGTTCTGTATTTCTATTATAAATATTTTGTAATAATCGAATCGAACTGTTAATTTTAAAATATATATATTTTTTTTAATTTTTATTCTTAATTTCTTGTACATGCTAAAACATTAAAAATTCATTTTTGTCCATGTTTTTACCTTAGATTGAGCACGTTTAAATATAGTTATTAGATTATTATGTACTATAATATTTTTCTGTTATTTGTGCAAAATTGCAAGATCACTTAGTTAGCACTACAGTCTTGTGAACAAGGCCTTAGTCGATCCCCTGTCTCGCTCGCTCCCATTCAATGTCCGCGCGCTCGCATGAATGAACCGCTTCTTATGAATGAGTGGACAGTCGCCATAGTACTATGTATACCTTCTGGTATACGTTGTCTCGCACTCAGAACGATGTAATAGAAATGCCATCACGAATTGATTGCAGAAACCTGCTTAATGATTTATAAATAGCAATAACGACACATTCTTTGCTTTATTTTAATATTGTATTTATTTGATTGGGAATCGAGAAATATTTCGATATGTCCTTATTCGGAATCATATTTTCATGTTAAATTGTATAATGTGTTCAAATTTTTGTTTATTTAACATTGTTAATCTTAATGTGATATTATATGGTAATAGATTTTTTTTAACGTATATACTGGTTTCAGTTGAAACATTTCTATAAATCTGTGATCTAAGGTCTCGAGGCTTTATGTGAATGTATGTTCCTTGGCACGTGGTCACAAGTTTTTTCATTACGAATGCGAAGGCAGGTTTTAATGGGATTGAAATTTTGACAAAATTGTCCGTTATTAGACTGGTTCTTTTATTTATAAAATAAAAAACAATGTAGCATTTAAGATGAAAAATAATAAATTAACTTATGCCATTTTTTTGCCTAAATGTTCGACCTGTCTTTATGTGTATGGAAGAAATATTTCTTACAAAGGTAGATAGATACCTATATGATGTAAACCAGCTTAGTAGTTTTGCTTAAGTTAAAATAAGAAGACAGAACACAGAAGGAATACATTTAACTCGGTTGCTTGGTTGGCTTCCACTATACCTAACGGTGTTTTATGTATCTATCTAGTATCTATTATATTATATAACATAATATCAAATCAAAATATTTTATTCAGCATTAAATTATTACAATTTTTTACTGAACGCCATGAGTCTACTACCAGTTCGGAAAGAAGAAGCCTCAGACCTGAGTAGAACTGGCGGAAGAAACTCAGCGGGACCAATATCTTTTCTTAAAGTATAATCTTTTTTTTAAGTAAAATTATAATTTACAATATTTCTGTTAAGTTGAAGTAGCCAGTAGAATAAAAAACATACCTATGATTATAATTTACATATAAATTATAATTGATTATATTGTATGAAATTATATATTATACATAATAATTAATTATTTTATATGAAACTGATTTCAATATTAGCAGAAAATATTTTTTATTTTATTTTATAACGTTTTGCATTTTAGCATAAAAAATCTGAGTTAAAGTACCTATAGAATTTAATGTTATATTAATTATTATATAAATTACATACCTATCTACCGCCCAATTTTATGTAAAAATTCACTTCATACAACTCTAACACTGACTGACAGACAGCGCCCCGAAAAATCGCTGGCTCTAGAAGAATAAAATTTTGCACAAGGGTTCCATGGTATAACGTAAGTAAGTACTGATAAAGCGTTATGAAAATCCAGCCTCTAAAGAGATTATTAGAATAGGGAATGAAATTCTGTATAAGAAGATCGTCCTTTTTAATAACTAAGAAATATTTAAATTTGGTATTTAAGCTACAGTTTTATTGACGATAGGAAAACCTATCGGATTCACTACTTCTCTATGACAAGTTGAAAGTTTGACAAATCTGACTTGAACGCACTCAAACAAACTTCTTCGTCTTTACATACGTAGGTATTAGTATATATGTGTATCTATTGTAAATACTAATTATTATTTACCCGCAGCTTTGCTCGCATTGTGAGTTTACTGGTAACAATAATACCTCAAATCACTTAGGTATAGAGTTAGGTATTAATTCAAACTTTGATCTTTTGAGAAATCTTTTTATACTCGCATAACGATGTAAGACGACGTATGTGCCTACCAATATGAATTTTATATTCCGATCCATTCATCTTTGTCAAAATCGTCATTGATTCTATGTATTTTTTATACCTATACTAGCGTCTCACCCTCGCTTCGCTCGGGTTCGCATCTAGAAGTACAAATACAAATCTATCCCTCGGGAACCGTATATTTTTTCCGGGATAAAAAGTACGTGTTAGTAAAGTTTCAGTTAATGCTACTGAACAGAAAAAGAATAGATAGATATAGATAGTTTAACAAGTGTTCGACGTGATTCTTTAAATTGGCATAACTTTTTTACTTATGAACCGATTGACATAAAACAAACACTAAATGTTAAGTGAAGCTTACCACAATGTATGAGTGAAAACGACTATTAAATCGGATAAGCCGTTTCTGAGATTAACGTGCACAAACGCACAGACAAACAGACAAAAATTCTAACAATCATTGTTTTGGGTGCTATTTTCAATATAAAAGTCCCAATAATATTTTTTCTCATATATCTTCCATGTACAGACAGCGATCCGTTACAGTTTTATTATATGTATAGATATATTTTTATTTTTTATCTATTATTCTGCTTTTCAGTTATATTTTGTAACAGAACACCGGACATGACCGTGACCGTGTTTATTCCCTTTTAATTTCGAGCATGATTCTAATACGTACATACACGCATTATAAAAAACAGGAAGCTCACTTTGCATAAACATATTGAAACGTGTTAAAAAGTAATAAACTTTTCGAGTGCCTTCATATTTATGCGCGCAGTCAGCTTGAAGGGACAGAATAAGAACAAGACACACTGCTGATTATAAATTTAACAAAGATTTTGACTAAATGTAGGTGGTAGGTTTTAATTATTAATTTATAGGTTAAATTAATTCTTATAGGTTGCCAATTTATTTATTTTTTTACTATAGGTACTTATTGCTCTTGGCAGACCCGGTTTCGGATTGCCTTTAGAAATATTGTTTGTTTCGCTTTGAAATAACACAAATCATTATAAAATACCACCCAGTTAACATTTTCTTGAATGTAAACTCGGCTTTACCGAATGGAATAATATGGATATAATAAATAATTAGACATAAAAGCATTTATTTAATAGCGTCATTTAAAATATCTATAGAATATGATATCATAAAGACTGCCATATTGTTTTTAAAAATATTGTAGCTAAATTATTTAAATTCGTGTTTTTCAAAGATATAAATAAGAAAAAATATTTTTATTAAAAAATATAACAATAAAATCTATGGAAGACGAACGAGGCAACCCTACTGCATGTTAGATAAGAAAGCAGACCTCTCAAAACTAAGTGTATTGTCCTGATACTAAGTAAACAATAGCACTTGAAACTCAAGTGGTCAGCATTTTTTTCGCACCCCCTCGGGTGAGAAACTATCCTAAGGTAGAGAAGAAATACATCGGCGCACGCGCACTCCAAGCCTTTGTGTGCCCTTATTCCATAGCATTAAGACTTTTGTTCTTTACTGGGAAGTGAGATATCCGGTTAAACCTATT